AGAAGGAGAATCATAATTTTCAGTCGCATACCTTTCGTGCTCGGTTCGGATCCGGTTGTTCTGGTTCTACCTTTGATGTTGAGGGTGTCTGCTGAAAAATAGACTGTACTCCATAGATAAAGAATCCCGCTAATCATTTCTCCTTTATTCTCGATGAAAAGGTTAGAATGTAGCGTCTTATGAAAAAAGAAGACTTAGGCGATAGAAGTAAATAAGCTTTTTATGTGTCTCGCACAAACGTTGCGAAAGACATCGAGTCGAAGACTTTTTTGTAAAGAAAAGAAGTATCGTGGAATTATTAATTTCACAAAATGAAAAGGAATGTATAAAAATGCGATGGGGTTGTAACAGTCCTACTTATGTAAGTCAAATTTCCGCGCAACCCACCGACAATGGCCCAGACATGGGCTGAGATGGAACTGTTACATGTTGTCCCACATGTGGTGTGGCACCCGGTGATATAGTTGGATCCCCCAGCTCGTTTTGCATCTATATCTGAAAAAAAAAAGACTCGCATCACCGTAATGATGCATAGCGGCAAAGAAACATAACACCAGAGAAGTCAAGTACGACTGATAATTCGGCAGATACCAAGCGATTTTTTTTCACTTCCCAGATACAAACAAAAACTGACTATGAGAAAAGAAATAAAACTCAAATAAACCTGAGAAATTTGGCTTGATGCCAAGCAATCTGATGGGGCATAATGTCAGCGGCTGCGCAACGGCTAAGGCATTGGAGCGCGTTAGAACGGGCTGCTCGTTGGGAAAATCTGGAGGTGAACATTACCGGCTATGAAGGCCTTGATATGGCACTATACTAAACGCCTAAGCATAGTATTACTTCAAAACAGTTCTTGAAGTTCTAAAGCTAGGAAGGCATTCAATCCCTACTACTCGTTGGCTCTAATTCCACCAAATGTGGTCCTTATTTTGTTTAAGATAATTATGATAACTCTTCCCAGAATGCAAGCGGAACGGGGAGAGAGAGTTTGGCGGTGATTGGAACCTAGAGCGGA